TAGAGGATGTATTTCTAGGTGCATTCCTGGAAATGTCAGGCTCTGGTCCTGCTCACGAGCCTCCCACTATAATGAGCCCAGTTCCTGAAACACCACAAGATAGATCTGGAAATTCTGTTGTAAAGGCAGAGGAAACTCTTTAGTGTACTCTATGGGCCATCCAGAGACTGTCCCATGCCATAACTGGAGACATTCAAAGTCCAACCAGGAAAACGTGCTCAAGTTCGCATTTAAAACTCTCCTGAGCTTAATGTTAACGTTTGACCATCAGCCTTGTTTTTCAGCGGTTTGGTTTGGTGGGGGCTTAGGTGAGGGTCCATGCTGCGGCCTTTTGCCATTTTCCTCTTCACCGACGTCGCTGGAATCTTTCTGCTGTGCTTCATTCTCTCAAATGTTTAAGTGTGTGTGGCCTCTGTGCCCAGTAGCCACATGGACTCGTTGTGGTTTGAGCAGCATCGATCAAGGTGCACGGCAGAACAAAGCCTTCTTCGGTGAGTCTGACTGACGTTGACTGAGAATGGTGCTTACGTCAAAGCACCCCCCCAACAAAAGATGTTATGTGAAGAACAGGGAAGGGGGGCCCAGGGTAAACAGTGAAAACTGGCTGTGCACACCTGTGACCCCAGCACCCTGGAGGGTGAGACAGGAACTGAATTTGTAGCTTGGCCTACAAAGCCAGATTTTATGTGTTTGCCTAACTCCAAACCAAACAGTCCAGGCCAACTCTAAATAAAACCAGAGACTTTGCCAATCCAAAAGGACTAACTAGGTAGTTTCCAGTTAGGTAGATTCCATTGTAATCAATCAAACATAATTTCTTCTTTGGTTTGGTTTGATTTGGTTTTGTTTCTTATGATCACTTTATAGATTCCTCTCTTGTCCCCCAAGTGCAAAATTGCCTTCATTCTGCCAGAATTGCAAATGAATGATCAAATAATTCCTAATGAAAACCTAAATGAAGAGGAGTTTATCTTCCTGGAGATTATTTCTGTAAATTTACTCTTTCCTTACTGTTACTATTTTGGGATGTAATATTGATTTCTATCTAGTGTTTTTATGAGGCCTTCAATACAGATGTCCTATGGCCCTGCAGTGGGCAGTTTGGATACCTTTGGATAGTATCTACTTTAAAAACAAAATTTTTCAATTACAATAAGGGAAATAAAGATGGAATCAATGAAGCTGGGTGTGGTGACACACGCCTGTGATCCCAGCACTCTGGGAGACAGAGGCAGACTGGAGGCCAGCCTGGTCTACAAAGTGAGTACAGGACAGCCAAGGCTACACAGAGAAACCCTGTCCCCTCCTTCAAAAAAAAAAAAAAAAAAAGATACTCAACACCAGAACACAGCATGTCTAAATGTCAGAGCCAAGCCTTCTAGCTTGGTCAGCAGAGATGGATTCCAGGCAACTGTGCTCTAGTCTGAGTGTTTAACAACCTTAAACGTCACCGATCCGTATCTTGTTCAATAAATACGCATGTACATGTCTACAGGAAAAACTCAAGCCAAACGAAGCATGTAACCATTTAGGAAGAAATTCACCAAGGTCCCTCCGGCCCTTCCTGCTGGTGGGCACTGTGAATCGTCGTCATAGGTGCCAGGTGTCTTCGGCAGGAGACAGGAAGTGCAGGTCACACCCTTTCGTCACCGAGCCTCCTGGGAGGAGGAGGAATAGAATGAGTGTCGCTGCAGAAAAGTGTGGTGAGGGAACACATGCTTCTGATGGGGGCTCATGTCTGGTTTTTAAGACCAGAGAGGACTTGGCTTCAGTTTCTCATTTACTGAGGGGAAGATAGGACAAAGTGCACAAAACCAGTCAACAGGAAAACAGATAAATGATACATGTCTTCTTACACAACTATGTGATAATAGGACACTGCAGTGTCTGTGGGTTCCATGGTGTAATGGTTAGCACTCTGGACTCTGAATCCAGCGATCCGAGTTCAAATCTCGGTGGGACCTCTCTGTTTAGTTGGAGGAAGGGCACTTTTCTTTCATTTCATTTCCGTGCTCAGGAAGGGTGTGAGTTCACATCCCTTTCTCTTCAGGTGAGCTGAGGTGACCTCAGGGTCAGTCAGCCAGTGAAGTGAGTTTGTGGATATTAGCCCGACACCTCCCTGGGTGCCAGGGGCAAGACTGGGTCCTAGTTTGCACTGGGGTCCTGTTTCACTCCCACAGCAGTGGGCACAGCTCCCTTCCTCACACACGGGGTTCAAGTCCACAGCAGTGGGCACAGCTCCCTTCCTCACACACGGGGTTCAAGTGTGGTTTCTTCCTCACACACGGGGTTCAAGTGTGGTTTCTTCGTTTTTGTGGCTTCAGGGCTGGAGGCGGTGACTTGGAAACCTGGTCACAGTCCTTACAGACTACATGAGCAGGATGGGATTTAAACAATCAGAACAGAGGAAACGCGGACAGCTTGGCTCAGAAGACAGCTCAGGAGCAATGAGAAAGAAGTACAAATTGCAAAAATAAAAGAACGATGAATCCTTTAAAAAGACCGAATGAAAGGGGAGTGTAAGCCCATCCCAGAGCCCGTCTCGATCCACATGAAACTGTTATATAACTATTTCACAAGTTCAAGGGCACAGACCATATAAAAATTGGAATGACCTGAATTAACCTTCAGAGTTGAAAATAACATCTGAGATAGTAGAGTTACCTTGTAGAATTAACAGAGAGTAAGCTACTAAATGGAGGAAAGATTAGGGAATGCCAAGCCACAGGAGCCACTTGGAAGTAAAATACTAATAATGATAAAAGTTTGTCGGGGCGTGGTGGTGGTGCCCGCCTTTGATCGGAGGCTGGTGGCTCTCTGAGTTCCGGGCCAGCATGGTCTACAAAGCGGGTTCCAACACAGCCACGGCCGCAGAGAAACCCTGCCTTAGAAAACCAGGAGAAAAGAAGGTTGATGAAAGAGCGTCAGTAAACAACAGGGCAGCTGTTAGAAGCTAGCCAGCGCCTGAGCTTCCCGAATGCACCTCAGGAGAACGGGAACAGTTTTTGAAGGAACAGTGACTGATTTTTTTTTTTTTTTTTTTTTTTTAATGAGAATTATTAACCCACCGACCTAAGGCTCTGAACAGCCCCGGGCACTTGAGGAAAGCCACACCTAAACACATAGAATTAAACGGATAAAACTAATCACTAAAGAAAAAAAAAATCCTTACGGCAGTCGGAGGAATAAGTGCTGGCACACACAAACCCCACGAAGAGCAGTGGCGGGCCTTTAAAGGACCAGGAGGGGGGCGTCGAGGCGGAGGGACCATCCCTCAGCATCGCCCACAACCAGAGCCAAGGCTTCCGGCTGAAAGTGGCTGCCTCGGCCCGAACCTGTTTGCACACAGGATGCTCGGCAGACGGCGTCCACGCTGGAAACCGACGCCAGTAAAACGGCCGGCAGGGCATCGCTGTCGTCCCGTCCATCCCCTTAGAAAACAGCAGACTTTAAACACAAGTTTACATGCATAACTCAAGTGGGATAAAAGCACACCTGTGGGAAGAAAGACACGAGCAATGGCCCTTGACGGCTGTTATTTGTGACAATTGAACCACGTGATCGAAAGTCAAAAGTACGTGGAAAGGGGACAGACGTGGGTTGCAAAAACAAGGCAGGAAAACTTCCCAAAACCAAAGTATAGTTTGGGTTCCACCGGCCGCAGACTTCTCGGTTGACTTAGCCCTGCTTTACCCTGTTCGCAAAAATGAACACGGGTGGGGAGACCCATGAGCTCCCAGCGCAGAGAAGGACCGAGGAAGGCCTCGGGGCTCGAACCGCCAACCTTTGGGTTGAGCAGCTGACCGCGCTGACCAATCACCCCACGGAGACCTGCAGTCCTGGCACCTGCTGGGCCCCGCGTCCCCTCCTCTTGCCGGGATCACGGCTGCAGGATCTCTGACCGCTGTGGATTGAAAGTCAAGCCAAAGGGGCCCGAGTTAGTCCCAGTGGGCCCAGGGGAGGGCAGGGCACCCCCGGGTCTCAGGTCAGAACCGCCAGGGGTCCCAAACACCAATCCCCTGGTTTTCAGTGGCTTTCGCTTTGAAATTCACAAACATTTATTTATTTATTTATTAACCGCATTACTGTCTTAGGCCGCGGGGCCTGGTCTCCCTCTGCTGTCTTTCTCTCCTTCTTCCGAGCTGAATACAGTTTCGCCTCTGGACCTGCCCCGTGCCTCTGACCTGTTTCTCTCTCCTGCCTTCTTTTCACGACTCCAACCCCCTCGCCTTTTCCCAGCTTCTGCCAGCCCCCCGCCGCAGCCGAGCAGGGGGGGCCCTGGCCCTGCCAGGAGGGGCCCAGGTCAGCGGTGCTGGTCAGCAGAAGAAGCCTTGCATCGTCTGTGCGTTTGAACGGGAAGAGTAAACAAATAAGAAGCACGTCACGAGGCCGCCCAACTCCCCTGTGCGGGTGTCAGAGGAAGGGAGGAGGCTGGGGACGAGGGGCTCCAGGAGGGGGTGGTGATGCTGCGGGTTCTGGAACAGCCACTCACTGCTCACTCGGACCCCGGACTGGGCTCAGCAGATGTTCATCGGACGCTCAACAGGAACTGACAGTCCAGGACCACAGTCCGCGCCCAGCAGCCAGGCTACGAGGTCGGCCTGCTCCTGAAACTGGAACCAACTGGCAGCCCGATAGCAAAGCCAACTGAAGGCAACAGGCTGCGCCCAGGGAACGCCCAGGTAGCGAAACGCCAAGTCCCCAGGGGTAGGAAGCAACGTGGCGTCCTTTTGGCTAGCCGGACGGAGCGTCTGTAAGTGGCCGTTCATCTGATCGGCTCTGGAAAGCAGGGCCCAAAAACTGGAGGTTAAGATGGCGTCTGAAACGCTAAGCCTCTGTTAGGCCCAAAGCAGCAGCGGGTGTCAACGCAGGAGCAGAGCGAGCAGGGGCTCTCGAAGCTGATGGCAAACGGAGACAGGAGGAAGGAGGCCTCGTTAACTGCTGCTGCTTTGTCTTCTCTTTCCCCCACGCCAGCCTTTTGCATAGCAAAGAAAAAGGCCTGTTTCCGCCCGGTTTCGAACCGGGGACCTTTCGCGTGTGAGGCGAACGTGATGACCGCTACGCTACAGAAACCGCACGCCCGGGTGCCCTGGAGGGACCCGAGAGTCGCGGCCCCGCCGTCTCCGCCGGACAGGGCGGCTCCTCGGTCGAGCGGCGGCGGCCCTGCCCAGGGGTCCCCAGCGGAGCCTCGCAGGAGAAGGCCGGGCCTGCGCGGGGCCGTGAGCCGCCCCGGGGCGGGGGCCGCGGGCGCTGCTTTCCCGGGCGCCAGCGGCTGCTCGGTGCTCGTGGGCGCTTACCAGCTACAAGATTTTATATATATATATAATATTATAATAAATATAATTAATATAATAAATATAACATAATTGATATAATAAATAATATGATATAATAATATAATATAATAATTAATATAATAAATATAATATAATGATATAATTACTATAATAAATAATATACTATAATAAATATAATATAATATAATGTACTATAATATAATATAATGACATAATTAATATAAAATATAATGTAATTAATATACTATGATATAATATGATAATTAATATATAATATAATATATAATATAAATTCTAGTATATACACACACACACTATAGATAGATACATACATACATACATACATACACACATATAGCTACAAATACGCGAACATTTACGCCCACGCGCAGACGCCGCCCGAGCCGAGGCGCGCCCCGGGGCTGGCTGCCATCCGTTTGGGGACCCCCCAGGTCAGGCAGAGATCACTGCTCTGCCGGGCCCGGCGGGCGCGGGCCGCAGGGCGCCCTGGGTGTGAGCTCCCCCGGACACGGGCTCGGCGCCTCCTCGACGGCGCGGGCAGCGGTTCCTGCTCCCGAAGGGGAGGCGTGGGCGCCCGAAGGCCGCGGTGTCCCGGGCCGCGGGAAGGTCGCGCCGCTGGCTGGCAGCCGCAGGCGGTTCTGCCCGGGGAGGAGCCGCGGACGGGGTGGACCCGGAGCCCGGTGTCCAGCCTCTGCTGGGAATCAGAGTTCACCGAAGGGGCCACTGCGTAGACACAGCGGGACGAGCGAGCCCCCAGCCCCGGAAGGCACAGGCCGCGCCTGGCGCCAGCCTGCTGCTGCTCTCCGCCGCTGTCTCAGCTCCTCTAGGACGTGCGGGCTCCTGGGGTCTCCAGGGCCTGCTCCTCTGTCCCTGGCCCCCCGCTCCTCCTCCGCCCCCGCCCCGGCCCTGCCTCCTGAGCGTCCCTCCCACACCGTGACCTTGCGTGGACATCTCCGGGACAAGGCCACACACCCTGCCACCTGCCGACATTCCCGACCTAATAACGCTCCTTGCCAAGGCGGTGTGTGTCGTTGGGGTGACTCCGAGCTGGTCTCCGAGACTTCACTGCAGCATAGCCATTACTCGGGACCCCGCTGCTTAGGTCTATTACTATATTCTTAGTTTTCAACGAATGACAAGTGTCCTGAAGCGAGACGCGAGGGCATCGGGAGTTCAAGCCCATCCTTGGGCCACATGGCCAGTGAGGAGGTAGCGGAACAGGGCAGGAACACAGCCCTGGACTTGAACCTTGATTCTGCACTTACAAACTACACAGCCGTTGGTAACGTACTTAAGACGTTTATATTCTGGTGTCTTTATTAATGAAACCTCGGTTACAGAACTGAATCAATTGAATTTGTGACATGTAAATTTGCTTTAAGAGTTGATGAAAGGATAGCGTTCAGTAAGTGTGAAATCCTAACCCCACTCCTACCAGCCTCTGAGGAATCATCTGCCTACCCACACAGAATACTTCCTGAAAACTGAAGAAGTTCCAGGAATCCCCGTCACACAAATGGCCCTATTAATTTACAGAAAAGATGCAGAGCTAATTGTGAGATCAGAGGAGGCTCTGAACGCGGAGTTCTGAGCGGCAAGGCCTCCCCTTAGAGGGTCTCAGGGGGCTGTGGGGGAACTGAGCTCAGACGGTGTGCAGCAAAGGTCCGTCATAGCTCTCTCTCACTCCCTCACCCCAGAAGTCACAGCCTGAAGACAGCCTCCCTACACAGACTGCTCCTATAGAGATCAGCTAAACTCTCTGAGAGTTCAAGGCCAGCCTGGTCTACAGAGTAAATTCCAGGACAGCCAAGGCTACACAGAGAAACCCTGTCTCAAAAAAAACAAAAACAAAAACAAAAACAACAACAACAACAAAAAACGCAAAAACAAAACCAAACCAAAACCTGCAAGCCTGTCTCCTGATCCAGCTGCACAGCCCAAACCCGACCTCTCTTCCCCCGGCTCAGCTGTATACAGTAACTCCCTCTCTCTGTTCAACCGTAGACAATAAACATGCTGAGCTTCCAGGGTGCTGCGGTTTCTCCAAGAGCACCAACCCCCGGATCCTAGCTCCCTGTCCGTGCGTCCAATTGTCTGTCTTCTCTTCATCCCCTCGCTGCCCCAGTCCTCGCTGCCCCAGTTAGGTCTGTCCTTAGAGGCACGCTGGACATGGCAGCTAGTGAGCACCTCACAAACCAGGGGAGCCTGTTTCTGCTGACTGGGCTTCAGGGCGTGTTTGCCAGGTTTCTGTAGTCTCAGAACTAGGAGTCAGGAGGCTGTCCTACAATTTCCAAATATTTGGAGTTAGCTATAGGTCCCATTATTCAGGAGGCAGGCATGCAGTCCAAACTGAGTGGAGTGTGGCAGAAGCCAAAGAGAGGGGAACCGGGAGAGGGGAAACGCGGTCTGGGCAGTGCCAGCATGCCCAGCCTTTACACAGCACAAGCAGCCTTCTTCTGTGTGAGTTCAATCTTCCCACTCTCCCTGAGAGGTTCCTCTCCCTTCATCTTCCAGGGTCTCAGCCCAGTAGTTTAGAACACCCAGGCCTTCCACGTGGCAAGTAACGAAGCTGAAATTGCACAAAAGACACTTTTTTTCAAAGAACTCATTTGTGCCAAGTTTACTTTAAAAAGCCAGCTGGCACAATTTCAGAGTGGCTACTTACCATAACTGGAGTGACTGCTTGGCATTTGTTTAGTTGGTCAAGAGTAAAACTGGCAAAGTCTTAAGTCCTTATTAATCGTCAGTTTCTAAGGCCAATGGATGTCTTGATCTTCTTGACAAATGAGCATTACGAAGATTAAATGTATCACGTGGCAATCCTGGAAGGGCCTCGGTGCACATAAAAAGCTTGTCAGCTCCTTGCATGTGGAAACGAAAGATAAAACCACAGCCAAACCCGCATCTTGGGTTCCTTACCATCTCAAAAAGCCTAGACGTTGCCATATATTCAGCAAAGCTGCAATCCAGCCTGGTCTGCAAAGAGAGTCCAAAACAACCAAGGGGATACAGAGAAACCCTATCTGGAAAAACCAACCAACAATTGAGAGAGAGGGGGGAGGGAGGGAAATAGAGACAGAGCGAGAAAGAAAGAAAAAGAAAAAAGTGGGGTGAAGCTAAAATATTTCTAAAGATAAGAAGTAACAAAACTTAAGTCAAAAAAAAAAAAAAAAAAAAAGCCAGGAGAAGCGGACGCTGTCTCCAGTCCCCTGCATTTAGAGATCTCAGCACTCCCCTCGGGAGACCCCCTCGCCAGGTCGGCGACACAGGGAGTTGAGGGACCAGAAGCGGAATATCCAGCTTCTATGTAGACCAGAAATCAGCCCAAAGTGCCGTGACTCGGATTCGAACCGAGGTTGCTGCGGCCACAACGCAGAGTACTAACCACTATACGATCACGGCGAGCCACCGGCCGGCGCCGGGAGAGGCTCCGCGCTGGCGCTGTTGGCCGAGCCTCGCTGCGGGGCCGCGGGGTGCTGCGCCCGGGGCGTCCGTCCGTCCGTGCGCTCCCCGCCGGGGCCGGAGCTCCAAAAGGGGAGGAGCCTGGCGCGGCCGCTGCCTCCCGGCGGGGAGGCCCCGAGCCACGGGCGAGCTTCGCCTCCGCCGAGGCCCGGCTCGTGCGCGCTTCCGGGCACTAAGCGGGGACGTGGGGGCGGGAGGCGCCAGGGCCCGGCTCCCCCGGCGGCCGTTCACCAAGAAAGGACCAAAAGCCTGTCGTCCCTGGGTGGGCTCGAACCACCAACCTTTCGGTTAACAGCCGAACGCGCTAACCGATTGCGCCACAGAGACGGTGCGGGAGGCGCTCGGCCGGCGGCCTGGTGAGCCGGGAGCCCGGGGCGACCCGCCGACCCCGGGAGCCGCGCGCTCCGCATCTTCTAACAAACGGGCGCTTCAGCAGAGGTCAAAAGTCAGGTGGTGACGGCCACACCTCTAACCCAGCACTCTGGAGGCGGAGGCCGGAGGACCACGGCCTTGACCCATCAGCCTGTGGGGGCCAAACCCATTCAAACGCCGCAGGGTCCTGCCTGTTAAGTACAGAGCAAGAAACAGGAGCCATCTTGTAATTCAGAAGTTGGAGTGGCCGGGGGCTGTGTCCCTGGTCCAGGGCCACTGACTCTGTGAGCGTCAGAAAGGCGTTTGACTGCTCACGATGAATCTTAGGTGTCTCCCAGAGGCTCTGCGCGAAAAAGTCTCAGTCCAGGCCGGCCCTCGGGAGGCACCGGCAGGCACATCCGTGAGTCTGAGGCCAGCCTGGTCTACAGAGCCCTGTCTCAAAAAAACAGCCTTAGCCTTAGTCTTCAGCTTTGGGTTACGAGGTTGTGTGGCCATTGAAGCTTTACCCCTTGATGAGGGTACCGGGACCTCAGCTCCATCCCCCCTTCCTCCCTCTTGCTTCCATTTCATGAAATAAGGTTTGTTCTAACACTCCTAACCTGAAAGCTATAGGTGTACCAGATCATAAACAAACTTGCCAGAGTAAACTTCCCTCAGAATTTAATCTATATTCCTTCAAGAAGGAGGAGGAGAGAGGAGGAGGAGGAGGAGGAGGAGGAGGAGGAGGAGGAGGAGGAGAAGGAGAAGAAGGAGAAGAAGGAGAAGGAGGAGAAGAGGAAGAACCCTTAAAATTAATGGCTACCCTGAGAGGACTAATTGCATTCTAACAACCAAGCCTTCAATTATAATTGTAACTAACTGTTATACAAATGGTTGTTAATTCTTGGCTTCCATGGCTGCCAGAAGCCTTCATTTTATCCT